TTGAAATTAAGTGTATCGCAAAGTTATATTCAGAAAGAATAAACCAGTTTTATTTAAGAAAGGACTTATGTCGCTAAAGTTTCGTCGGAACGAATTTACGGAAAATTAACTAACGAACGGAGACGTAACAGTATGTTATTCTTGAGCGGCTCTTTGCATGACCTAAATGCTCAACAATTAGTTTTCGCATTGGGCGGTATAAGTAGCTCAGCTCTTTGGCTCTGGGTGAATCCAAGAATGCAACACAATTTACCTTTTCAAAGTCCATGAAATAATTTTAATTGATAGATTAACTTAAACTTTTTCCGTCACTGCAGACGAGTACTTTTGCTTGTGTTTAATATTATGACCCATAGCCAACACTTTACTGATAATTCTTAGTTGTTCTAGGAAGTGTTTACGATTGCGTTCACTTGTCTTTCTTATAGGGCTTAAATACAGTGTGTGGGGCTGGAGATCCAAGAAGTCGTCATGGGATTGCCATCCACGTATTTTCATGTAACAAGCCTATGGGAGACAAGTAAGAGCTATATGAGAAAGTGGCACTTCTAATTGAAATTTAGATTTCTTGACATCTTTCTTCATGGAACTTATGTATCGTGATTAATGTTACGGTACAAACATATCAAAAATAGTTTACCCTTTGATTTCGTGGTTATTCAATATAAGCTTTACTATAAAAAGACAGAGATCTATAGTAGCAGAGTTACGCTTAATGGGAATTTCCTTTATGTAAGTTAAGTATACTCTATTTTTTCTTTGATAGAAGTGTTAATTGGAATGTCTGATATAGGTTTTTATTATTATTATTATCATACTTTTGTTATGGAGATTGTTTCGCATTGATGTATAAATATATGTATCTAAAACTATTCTAAATCTTTTAAGCTGTTCAAACCTCGTGAAATATTTAGGTTTACGGCCGAAAATATCGTTAATAGCGAGGGTATCCAACTGATGAAATAATACGCTCTAATCTTCATAAGTAAAAACGTAAGAAAAGTATACAAATTAGCTAAACTCATTACCAGGCCAATTTTTAGTTTCACTCTAAGTAGGTAGCTTGTTTTGATTAGAAGTTAATTTAATTTATTATATATATATAAAAACATAGACAATTAACATAAATGAGCTGAGTTGTGAAATATTAGTGTTAAGTTCGTTAGATTTGATCCCTAAACGTTATCTTTGTTTATTCTTACTGTATTCTTTATGTGAACTCAAAATTGCGTAAATAAAATATACTTTTGTGACCTTATTGCTTTATTTTCTTACTTACAGGGCAGGTCTAGCATTATAAATATACATTAATTCTTGTTGTTTAATGGAAAAATAATATTTATTGCGAAAATTATTTAAAGTGTGGGAAAACTTTTAAAATATTTAAAAACTGCACTCAGCATTTAAGGTCATCCTATTTAAAAGCGTATTGTTAATATATTGTTTTCAAAAGATTTATACGTATTAATTGTAAACTTATATTTTATTGCCCGGTTAATAGGAAACCCTCTCTTCTTCACATCGTCACGTTGGCTTATGTATGATTCCAATTTGAGCCTTGAATGACTGTTTGTTTAGAGCAAAGCCACATTGGGCTGTTTGTTGTGTCATCACGCGGATTTTAGCGTTGTAAGTCCTTAGACTTACCCGCTGTCCCACCAAGGACCGAAAATACGGAAGTATAAGTGTTTAGACTTAGCAAATCTTAACTTGTGTTTAAGCTAATGAAACGAGTTTGCCCCTTTTTGATAGCTTGAATATTAATTTGTTTCATTTACAGTATTTTAGAGATAATTGAGAATATTTTACACTCCAGCAGGATAGGCATTCTTGATATTTCAAACATATAGAACTTAAGATTGTTATATCTTATTTCAAATAATATTGTTGGTTAATATACGTTATTCGGTGTGATATTATGTGAAAATTTTGTTCTATTAAAGTTCTGTGAAAAATAAATATCTAATTTGTATATATCATATTTCAGATGTTTTTACAATTCCGACGGAGATCTTTTAGTAGGTAAGTTACCTATTTAATATCATTGTTATTTCGTATTAACAACACTTTGTTCTGTTTAATTTTTTATTAGGAAAGTTGTCTTCAAATGATTTTAAAATTTCACTGCGACAAAATTCGGTGAAGTTAAGGGATCCTTTTATCGTTATGCGTAACATTATATTTGACGATAATGCATATTTTGTTTCACCAAGTTTTAGATGCAAATTATAAACCCACTGTAAAGCTATGTTACGTCTCTGGTCGTTTGTTAATTTCTCGTAAAAATTCCTTCCGAAAAACTTCAGCGATACAAGTCCTTTCTTAAGTAAAACTAGTTTATTCTTTCTCAATACAACTTTGCAATACACTTAATTTCCACAATCAATTTAACTTAATCACACGCTATAATTCACAACGAACGATTCACGCACTTACTTACTACCGCGCTTGACTCAATTGTCTGTCTGTCTGCAATTCTATATCGATTCATTGTCTGGCGCACTTATATACAAGAATACCGCACATCTAGCAAACACTCGAGCATTCACGAACCTTCGAGAATATCATGACGTGTTACTTGCGTCACGTGACTTCCGCTGTCGTAACAGCTACTTTTATGCGTAACGAAATTAGTGTAGACGCTTTCATAAGAAGCAAAAACAATTCTCGAAATCAACAACCAGTTTTTGTTTATGTGTTAGTTTTTCCTTGTTAAGGAAAATCGATTTTATGTATGAGGGTCAGCGTACTTTGCTGATTGCATCAAACTAGGAAGTAATAACAAACTGTGACATGCCTCCAGAGATCATATCTATGAAGATTACCTGTTTGAATTGATTTAGATAGAAAAAAAATGATTCTCATGTTTAGTTTAGACTAATCTAAGAAAGCAATTGCAATATATATATAACTATTGCCATATATATATATATATATATATATATATATATATATAACTAACTAGTCTAGATACTATATATAAGTAATATTGTTAGTTATAAGTAACTTAATTTAATTATTGTTACTTAGTTAGTAGTAGTCGGTCCTACCTAACT